GGTTCTGGCGACTTTCAATTACCTCGAAATGAAGAAACATCGTAAACCTCAAGTAAATATACAGCTTATGGCAACTGCACAAAATCTAACGAAGAAGCAGAGTGAAACCTTTCGGCAGGCTACTTTGTTGGAGACAGGTGCCTCTATCAACACTGACAGCCCTGTACAACATTGGCACGTATCAGGACCGTAGCAAAAAGTATGAACATACATAAATAGCAAATGCAATCTGTATCTCTACCAACAATTCGATTTTCTCCACTATGTTTCATCTCTGAGCACAATACGAAGCATTTACCAAACTTTCGAATTTCCAAGTTCTTCAATGATGATTGAAAGAGGGATTGAAGAAAGCACAGTGTTGTCATCGCAAATTTGAATATAACGTAATAGAAAGATGTCTGTTGCATTCACTACCTTAATTTTTCATCACGTTACGTAATAATACTTCGCAGTTTATTTGGCATAATGCGAAACATTTACCAATTTGGCGAATTTCGATAATTTATATTTCTATTTTACGATTCCTTCGTTGTGATTAAGTGAGCTTATTAGGTTTTCTCATCACTGTTCTTTTATTGTTTACATTCAGCATATATGTAGGTTGTCCACTTACACATGATACATGAGGTATGTATCAAGTCTGTCCAGTGGCCATTTCTGCTTATGTTTTAAGGCCATTGCGCCAGGGTCGCTGAGTCTTGTAAGCGTCCGATTCAGAATTGAGAGGTCACGTGTTCCAGCCCGGGTCAGGTCACTCGCTTTTCTTCCCATCGAGGTTAGTAAATGATGGGGAAGGAAACAGGAGACTACACGCTATACTCGACAGATACCTGCTGTCAACTGTAGCTTTAAAATGAGGCCCTCTTGACTAATGGCATGGAAACGAAAATCATGCAAAGAAGGGCGCCAAAATCGGCTCCATCATGAAAGTGTAAGGAAGAGCGACATTCCGATGATTAAAAGCTTTATTTGGGCCTTTAGAGCGGATTCTGCGATAGGATAGGCAGAGCAGAAGTAAAGCGAAAATTTTGATTTCTGCTATTTATACGCTTTTAGCCGTTTTAACCGCCATATGTGATTTAAATATGGGTTAAGAATGACTACTAATGCGGTTTTGACTTAATTAGTAGTTGATGGCCAGAAACCAGTTGCTGGTAAGGAATTTCTTGACTTTCTGCATTTAACGGTGATTTTGAAATTGCTCGCATATTGTGGGGTGAAATTTCCAGCTCTGCATTTTTAGATGAACTGCTTCAGCATTATTCTTAGGGATTTCAGTGTTGACTGCCTTATTTTAAACATTGATTAGATTCCCAGTAAAAATGGCGATAAGAGTCTAGCATTTTCTCTGCAATTTCTGTCACTGACGCCACTGTTTTTGAACTTCCCAAGAAGAAGCGAAAAAGGAACATAAAAACCGACAATCTTCGAAATTCACAATATGACAAACCTTTCGAGACGTCCTAACAAGGCTTTTCCTTTATATGTACTATGAGGCTCCAAACAACTTTGATTATTGCGCTTACAGATGGCGGTGGTGTCAAAATATTTAGGTTAAAACTTTTACATTTGGTTCCTACATTTGTGTTGTCCTCAGATACTCTTCTGAGATAAATGTACAGGTACGATTCCAGCTTACTTGTCTTTCCGCTTCATCGTAGTCTTAACAGAATCCAACGCGATATTCGTGTCTAACGTCTCCTAATTTTACATCAGCAGAACAAATTTTCTAACGTGGTAAGCAGGATTAATAGGCATGCTGTAAGTTGTTAGGAAAGTTGACAAATGGCTCTGAAATGCCTGCGATTGTTGCGTGCGCCATCGCCAACAGATGGTCAATCTTTGATATTTCACTGTCTGGTCGGCGCGCATTTTTGCAAGTTAGGTAATATTATAACATATACGCGCTATGATCTTTGCCCTGAAATAATAACTTCTTTATAGTCTGTTACAAACAATACAGGTGATTGATTGACTAAAAGCTTTTCTAGCAAATAGTGCCTTGAAACTGTGCAAAAATTTAAGAGGGTTCGGCAGGAAGCATGACACAAATCAATAATCAGACAAGTCAAAAACAGCTGACAATGCACTGGCACATTCGCGCCTCCTAAGATCAGTTTGCACTAATGTGAATCAGAATATATGCCAATTTTAAATTTCACTTTGCCATGTGTTTCATCGTTATAAAAGCCAATCACTTACTATTCTGAATATGGTATGAGAACGAGAACTGCGCTCATTCATTCGTGTTTCGGCAATGTGACGTCTTTCTGAAAAAAGGTCCTGCAAGCATGTTGATTAGCATCACAGAAAGCATCTGACCTTCTCCCAAACGAAGCAACGAAAAAATTTCCTCCTCGCTGCTAGCGATTTCCTCTTTTAAACCGGGGATGAAAATCATGCCATTAGTATTCTCCTGCAGCTTCAGATTTGTCTGCCCACTTAGAAGATCCATCACTTCCTCGTTGTATACTTCCATGAAAGACAATCGCAGCAAATACTCCCGCTCAGGTGTCTAGATACATACAGGCGTAAATTATAATGTATATCTGAATGATCATCTGGCAGACTAGACGACCCGTAGGATTAATAAAAAATTATTTTCTGCAGTGATCCTGTGATCAGAACGCCATATCGTAAGTTTGAAATGTGCATTCGGCTAGAGCAATATTTATGCCAGGAGTCACGCGATATCATGGTGATGGTGGAGGCCATGACAAAATAGATGTCCTTGAACACAGGTGGCTTGGTAAACAAAACCACTTCTTTAATTAGTGGCAAAGAAACCAGGGTCTCGTACGAAGACGTGCAAAACAATGAGAAAAAAGGAAATCCCGCGATGGCTGATACTGGCTGACAGCCAGAAAGACAGTACTGCCACAAAACCACGGTTGAAAAAACTTCTGGGAAACTTTTCATGGTTAGATTTCAATTCTGATATCGTTTATATGACTAGGTTGAGAAAGTTTGAAAATCTGGAATCTGAGCTGTCCTTTCATGTAACTTCCTACACGGCAAAATCAAGAAAAGCAAACGGTGGTGATGCTGGAACATGGTCTCGATGAATGGACATAAGGAGGAATCTCCTATATGACTTTCTGGTTAGGTCGCATCAACAGCACTAAACAGGGGTCAGACTGCTAGGGCAAAGTTAACGTGAGAGCGTCGCACCATATTTAAACAACAGAAATTGCCCGCTTATGGAGGGAAAACTATTCGAAAAAGCACTATGGCACTACTATTCCTCAACCCTCCCGCGCAACCTGAACAAAAAACAACGCTAGAAGAGTGAAAAAATTAGTTTTAATTTCAGATGGAGAATGAGTATTTGACTGCGACGATAGGTTTCTAACACTTCCACAAGTCACCGACACCTAAATGTGCTGAATTTCGCAGAAACAATGTTTATGCACACAGCAGAATATTCAATCAGATGTATGATTGGAGAGCAATAGCTATTTTTCCGTCTTATCTGAATTTCGCAGGTTCAACGGTATCAATAATCAATCACCAACAGCATGCACAACGCAAAGTCCAGGGAAAACGAACGACCGGCACATATGCTATGAATTTTTACCATAGAAAAAATCGAAACACATAATCTTCATTATCATCTTCCATCGACGCTTCTCCTTGCGGGTCGCGGAGGCAGACACGTCAAACAGAGCTTCCAAAGTTCCCGACCCTGTGCCAGAGTCTGAGCTTCGGTAAAAGAAAAATGGAGTCTGCAACACACTCCTTCCATATGTTTGCACCAGGTTAATCTTGGCCACCCCCTGGACCTTTTGCCGGTCGGATTTGCAAGGTACAGTTGCTTAGCCTTCCTTTCTGGAGGTATTCGCAACACATGTCCAAGCCATCGCAGCTGTGATTTCTCAATCTGGAGAAGCAAAGGCTGTATTCCAAGGTTCTACCAGATGTCACTGTTCCGGACCATGTGGAAACGCGTAAGGCCAGCGACTA